TCGAGTTGAGCTCGCATCGTTTCTTTTGTTTGATGACGACCCTCGCTGTTCTTTGCACCGTTTGTTTCAGAGACCTCAGTGTCCTTAGTTATATCTCTGGTGATAAAACAAGATGTTCTGTAGTAAAATCAGATGTTTGGGCGGATTCGAGTTGAGCTCGCATCATTTCACTCTCTTTTCGAGACATAATTTGAGGTTGTCTAAGTGCAATCTTTGTGTGTTTTTATAACTGGTGGAGTTGTTGCATCATTGTTGGTGGTACTTTGCTTATTTTGGGTTGGCTTGGCTTGGTGGATCAAGTTGGGTTTCACAACAAAGGGACACCATTGAATTTTGCTACACTCCCGGTCGCTGTCGGACTCTACGGTTTCTGCTATTCGGGCTATGCCGTTTTCCCTAATACATACACTTCAATGGCAGAACCGGCTCAATTCTCCTCAGTACTCTTATCATGGTAAACTAAAGCTCATCAAATCTATTTATGGTGTTACTCTTACTCATTCTTTTGTCGGTTCACAATCGCACTCGAAAGATTGATCGCGCAATGTGTTGCATTGTATCTTATATTGTCATCTTTGGTTCTAATTCTCCTTGAAGTTTTAGAATCTGTACTCTGTTGTATGCTGGAACTGCAGTTGTGGGGCATAAAATGTTCGGAGAAGCAACGGAATCGCAGTTTAAGTTACTCGAACTCGAGTTTTATATATATGTTAGTCGAACTCGAGTGTAAGTATGAGATACCGATATATATATTATGCATGTAAGCCTTGACTAGACCAAACATATGCATTAACCTTGTCTCCAGTGGCAATGAGTCTTGAGGAATTGTCACCATCACGGTATCGTAAGTCTCACGTCTACTCTATTGTGATCCGAGCATTACTGGTGATATCGACCTTGGTAGTCACGTCTACTCTATTGTCACCATCCATGTTCGAAAAACATAAACCTTTACGTCTTTCCTTTGTTTTTTTCATCTTCTCCCTTCTTCTTCTTCTTCATGCATCTATGCTATTTGTCTTTTTTCATGGGCTCATGTTTCATTTCAAGAATAATGAAAGATTTTTAACTTCCGATAACAAATAATAACACCACAAGTCTAGAGAAAAATGAAATGGGAGGCAGTTAGGGATAAAATGAAGCTGGGTAATCTCAGTTTTACAAATTAAAATTTAATTTCCAAATATTAAGATTGAAGAATGCCAAATCCAATAAGAAAAAAGAAGACAAATCAATGGATCCAAATAATCCGATAACCAGATATCACTCTTCATGGTGATTTTCCCTTGAGAATGCGCATAATCAATGGACCAAAACAACTTGATAACTGAATCCGTGGATTCATCCACTGAACTCAATCCAAAGTTCATTATCTTTAACGTCAAATCTTTGTTTCTTTCTTAACAACAAACAATTTTCTAATTCTAGATCCCAATGAATCACTGTTAATCCTTACGGCCTGTGCGATCTGTAGCACCACCACCACCGTGCCGGCCTCTGAGTATCTCATTTTAATCTTCATAAAAGTCGTGGAGGTCAATCACGTTCGACTGCGACAAAAAGATCTCGGCGATCTTTCACATCACAGGAATTTCGTTCGTCAACAACGCTTCGAAGGTGGAAACCTGATATTATGTCGTCAATAACACCATCATTGAAGAAGCCCTAGTTTTTTTGGCTCGAGACGGTGGCGTCGTCGCGGTGGTGAATCTTTTCAGAGTTCTAATGACGAATTCTCTATATTTTTCACAATCTTTATTAATTCTTTTTATACATTTTCTTATAATTGAGAATTCACCTCATTTGACTTTAAATAATTACAACTAATAATTAGAAACAAAAATACTATTACAATGGATCATATATGTTTGAAGAAGAAGCAGAGGGAGGAGGAGCAAAATTTTGAGGTTAGAGAGAAAAATATTAAAAAAATTGGATAAATTGAATTATTGTCCCTAAACTAATTTCAATTTACAAAAAAACTCATAATCAGTATTTTGTCTAAAGTTTAGGGGTTAAAATAAAAATTAAATCATTTCACTAACATGACACTGTTAGATTAAAATCCATATTTATGGGTACATATGTATAATGTACAATATTATTATAAAGTATGACACAAAATTAAGTGACCAATTATGTTATATGTATTAAAGTGTCATGGAATCAAAGTGTAGATACCATAAGTTATATTCACAATTTGATGAGGGGAAGAATTATAAATACTTAAAAGATTAACCTAATATTCAATCTATATATAGAGGTAGTGGTCCCCAAGAAATAGGTTAACTTGTATTACTATTATCCCGTCAGAGAGTTTTTACGGCAAGAGTAAACCTATCTTCTTGGAAGATTAAAACTAAAGAAAGACTTAAAGATTTCAACCTATCAATTAGTTAAGGTACACTTTCGCAAATCTAGTATTTTATTTTTGATGATTTAGCATGATAGATCCTGGTTATTTTTCATATCTCTTATGATTTTAGTTCTATCAGTCGCGTCATCAAACTAACGACGTTCAACGTATAAGTGACGGAAACTTAATAAAACGAAAACTTAATAAAACAATAACATAAGTGACCAAAACTTATGTTTTTTAAATTTAGTGAGCAAATATGTACAAATATGAAATGAAAATGACCAAAACTTAATCCACATATTATCTACGTGAAAATGATATAATTTTAATTTTATATAATTAACTTGCCATTTCAGTAAACCGTTAAAGGTTTAACGGTCGTTAATATTCAGTGATTACATCTTAATTAAAATAAAATGAAAGTAATTAAATATTATGTTTTTTTAATTCAATAAAAAAATTATAAAATTCAAACGAGAATGATAATTTTTGTAGTTTACCTCCATCGTCTTATATCTCATGGCATGCAATTGATTTTAAGATTTTATCAATGTTAACAAATCAAATATAATTTGAATCTTAAATATTATTCAAAATATAATTTATTTTGATTAGTTTAGGGTACTTAAAAATATGACATCTGTTCTAAAAATTATCAACTATTTAATAATAAACGTTCAAATATTTTACAATCTTTAATGTTCAAATTTGAGGCAGAATTAGTGAAATATTGTTAGCGGGCAGGCCAACTTCATTTTTATTTTGGGATCTACGGCAAAAGCTATAGTGTAGATGGAATTCGTCATGTCGGCGTGAAAAATCTGCATTAAGGGGGAGAGTAATCAGGCGTCCAAACCGTTGGGCCAAAGCTCCCCAATTGTTCTAATTTACAACAATTTGTATTTGACTTGTAAAAGTTTGTTAATGATAAAAAAATTAAACAAATTATTCGTTTAAATAAATTATTTTTTCTGTAACAGTTAATCGAACCGAAATTTATATGAAAATTATTAACTGAATTTTTTTTCTTTAACATTAATCGAACCGAAATTATTTGACCGTTAATCAAACCGAAATTTATTTGAACAAAATTAACCGAATTTTTTTCTTTAACATTAATCGAACCGAAATTATTTGACCGTTAATTGAACCGAAATTTATTTGAAAATTATTAACCGGATTTTTTTCTTTAACCATTAATAGAACCATAATTATTTGACCGTTAATTGAACCCAAATTTATTTGAAAATTATTAACCGAATAAAATAAAATATTTTTCTTTAACCGTTAATCGAACCAAAATTTATTTGAAAATTATTAACCGAACCGAATCAACCGATTTTTTTCTTTAATCATTAATCGAACCGAAATTATTTAACAGTTAATCGAATTGAAATTTATTTGAAAATTATTAACCGAATAAAATAAATAATTTTTCCTTAACCGTTAATCGAACTGAAATTTATTTGAAAATTATTAATCAAATCAAATTACCTGAATTTTTTTCTTTAACCATTAATCGAACCGAAATTATTTGACCGTTAATCGAACCAAAATTTATTTGAAAATTATTAACCGAACCAAATTAACCGAATTTTTTTCTTTAACATTAATCGAACCAAAATTATTTGACCGTTAATCGAACCGAAATGTATTTAAAAATTATTAACCGATTAACGGATAATTTGGTTCGGTTAATAATTTTCAAATAAATTTCGGTTTGATTAACGGTTAAAGAAAAAATAATTTATTTAAACAAATAATTTGTTTATTTTTTTTATCATTAACAAACTTTTACAAGTCAAATACAAATTGTTGTAAGATAGAACCATTGGGGAGTTTTGGCCTAATGGTTTGGGCGCCTGGTTACTCTTTCCCTTAATGCAGGTTCAATTCTCCTTGGATGCATACTTGTGTTCTTCTATTTTCCATTTCAATTGGGTGGTGACACGTGTCACCACATGATTAGTTAAAAAATCAGTTAATTAAATAATTTAAAATTCATAAATAAAACATTTCAATCATTTATTGACACGTGTCATGGCTTAATTGGATAGTTAAATTTATTTAATTGAATTAAAATAGTGAATAAATTGATAGAATATGTAAATATTAAGGACCAAATATATAATTATGTCAATTTTATTAACGGACACGTCACCAAGTCTGTTAAAATTAACGGAGTGGTGGTCTGATTGAATCAATTAAAAAGTTTGATAGTCGAATTGAAACAAAAAATAGTTCAGTGGCAAGATTGATTAATGATCATAGTTTGGTGGTCTCCCGTGTAGTTTACCCTACTATAAATTATGAAATATATAGTTCTTATTACACAAACGTCTTTCCTCCCAATAACCAAACACCATGACCAAGCCGGCAAACAAGACGAGAGTCCTAAGACAAGGTCTCTTCTTACAAGGGTCCCACTTTTCATCACCTTCCTTATTGCCTTTCCCAGTTCTCACCTTTCGCCTTATGCTTGAACCAGGAAGCAATTTGGAGATAACAATGGAAGTTTCCCTTTTGATAAAATATATATAAAAAAAGGCTTGACTTTGAATCCCACCACTTGGTCCCTATAATGTTTCATTTAGCTAGAATGCATTCATATTTATCCTTGTTGAAAACCCCCAAAAAAATCTCTGTTTTGGGTTCCAAATGCATAAAATGGGGTTGAAGAAGCTAAAAGTTTGCACCTTTTGCTCACTTTCAATCTGGGTATTTGTGCTTTTGAGTTTCTTGTTAAACACGGCACAATGTCAAGATGTCAACGATTATGATCAAGTGGAAAACCCTGATGTTCTTCCCATTGTTATATCCATTGTTAATAACAGGCTTTCTCCTCTCACCAATCTTCTCAGCAAGGATATTAGTGAACGAGCAGGTTTCTGCATAAAGGATCAGTGAGTTTTTTTTCCCCACCATTGTTATACCTGTTGGGAGGTACGTGATTGCGGACATAACATGTGTTATTGCAGTAATTGCGGGTATTGCAGTCATGCAATAACAGTTTCGGTTTGCTATTCCTGTAGTAGACCGCTATATAAATACTTGCATGTTGGTTCTCTGGTTCTTGAATTGAATTTGATGAGGAAATCAAAGGGGAAACATTGGGGCTTTAATTGCTTCTATATTTGATGTTACTTTAGGGTTCTTGGATTTGAATCTGATGAGAACAAAAAATGAATATTTTGTGCATGCAATGGAATTTGATCTTGTTTTTGAGTATGAGCTTTGAAGCTGAGTTTATGTTTCAGGAAAACTGAGTGGAACAAAGCTTTTAATTTTGAATCAAATTTGGATTTCTTGGCTTCATGTATTCTTCAAACACGAGGTATGGTCTCGATCTCGGGTTCTTAGAGGATCGAATCGAATACTATTTTGCTAAATATTGACTTAGGCAGAGATTTACTTGGAGCTTAGACTAATTGAATTGCAGCATGAGTTATGTTTTATCCTGTTTTGGTAAGGCGCTGCTGTGTTTATTGGTTGATCAGGGAGTATTATGAGGCGTGTTTGCACGGCAGCGGAGGCGAAATTCTACATCGATATGTTTTTCAGAAATGCCAGTTCTTTGAGGCCTAACAGGAACTGTAATTTAACCTCATGGGTTGCCGGTTGTGAGCCGGGATGGGCTTGTAGTGTCGGTCAGAATGAGACGGTCGACATTGAGAATTCTAAGGTCATTCCTTCTAGGACTACTGATTGTCAACCATGTTGTGCAGGGTTTTTCTGCCCTCGTAGTCTTACGTGCATGATCCGTAAGTCTGATAATCTTGTAAACATTTTCATCTTGGATAGCTAGTCTCTATTAATTACCGAGAATTCCGCGAAACAAACTGTGTTCGACATTAATACCGCTAGAAATCGTGTATCTTTTGTTAGTTTACGTCCTCGTAACACTTTTTTCCATACTTTTTGTGCATGCTTCATTGGATTCTGTCATCCGAAAGCTTGTCCGTTGGGTTCCCATTGTCCGCAAGCAACACTGAATACCAATACAAGCCTATGTGAACCGTAAGTTCGTAGTATTTATGAACATTTTGTTACAAGTTGAATGTCCTCTGGTTGTGACAAAGTTCCATATTACACGGAATTATTGATATGGTTTCAGATATAATTACCAGCTGCCTCCGGGAAAGCCGAACCATACGTGTGGAGGAGCCAATATATGGGCAGATATTGGTACCAGTAGGGAGGTGTTCTGTTCAGCGGGGTCGTATTGTCCATCGACGGTACAGGAAAAACCTTGCAGTAGTGGGTATTGCTTTGCTTCCGACGTTTTGCGATTTCGTTCTTTATACATTTGTCATGCCTTAGTATTAATCTTTCTTGATGCTATTGTATTTGTGTGTGTGTGCCTTTTCAGACATTACTGCAGGACGGGTTCAACATCTGAGAAGCGTAAGCCGTATACTTGGAACATTAATTTTTTATGTCCGAGTTCCGACTGCTCTCAGAATACATCTCGAGGCTTAACGTTGTCTGGATTATTAGTTTAACCATATTGATCTTACAGGCTGCTTCAAGTTGACTTCTTGTGATTCACACACATCAATTCAAGATCTGCATGCCTATGGAGTTATGCTTATAGTAAGTTGTTCGCTTTATGCCGGGAGCCGAATAAGCCGAATAGCTCAAGATCTCCTTTCCTTATGCAGGCTGCTATTTTTACTTTGCTCTTGACTATCTACAACTGTTCCGACCAAGTTCTGAATACGAGGGAAAGACGACTAGCCAAAACCCGAGAAGCAGCTGCAAGAAGTGCAAGGGAGACGGCGAAAGCACCGGAGAGGTGGAAAGCTGATAAGAATGCTGCTACAAAGCGTACAAGTGGACTACAAACTCGTACTTCACAGAGAATTTCTTTTAAAAAAGCCACAAAGGAACCCGACGAGGAACTTAAAATATTTGATCAAACGTTTGAAACGGATGAACACTTGTATACTCCCGTATATATGAGTACATCAAGCGAGTCTCTATCGTCGTCTGCACCATCCAAGGTACAACCAATAGAACCAAACAATCCAATCCAGGTGATGCTTGAAATTGAAGACACCCCTGAGAATTATGTTGAATTTGAAGTCAGTAGCCATGATAGAAAATCTAAAGGTCAAACTACGAAGGGAAAACGGCCTCGTACGCACAGCCAGATTTTTAAGTATGCATATGCTCAAATCGAGAAAGAGAAAGCTCAGCAACAAGACGATGAGAATCTTACGTTCTCGGGAGTGGTTTCTGTGGCTTACGACCCTGAAATGAGGAAAAGGCCTCTGATTGAGGTATCTTTCAAAGACCTTACGCTCACTTTGAAAGGAAAAGATAAGCATCTTTTGAGGTATGTTACCGGAAAAATTAGGCCTGGTCGCATCACTGCTGTCATGGGACCTTCCGGTGCTGGAAAAACGACATTTATTTCTGCACTGGCTGGGAAGGCTATGGGTTGCAAGGTGACTGGTTTGGTTCTTATAAATGGAAAGAACGAATCAATCCGCTCGTATAGGAAAATAATCGGTTATGTGCCACAAGATGACATTGTGCATGGGAACTTGACAGTGGAAGAGAATCTATGGTTCAATGCAAAGTGCAGGTATGCTAGATTCAAACCCAGTTTTTACGATACCGACATACATTTAAAACATGTGCATACTAAAAATAAACTCTTGTTTCCTTTCTGGACCCTGTTGAAGACTGCCTGCGTGTTTAACGAAACCGGATAAAGTTCTTGTCGTTGAAAGAGTTATAGAGTCTTTGGGGCTTCAGTCGGTGCGTGATTCCTTAGTGGGGACTGTAGAGAAGCGAGGCATCTCAGGAGGCCAGAGGAAGCGAGTAAACGTCGGATTGGAAATGGTCATGGAACCTTCACTTTTGATCTTGGATGAACCGACATCTGGTTTGGACAGTGCATCCTCTCTGCAGCTTCTTCGAGCACTTCGACATGAAGCTCTAGAAGGAGTAAACATCTGCATGGTGCTTCATCAACCGAGGTAACGGATTCTTATCCGAAGTCTACATTTCATTTTCGAACCTAAGGATTGTGAGTTTGATCCCTTTTTTATGTATTAATTGCTGAAAATTCTGTTTCAGCTACTCCTTGTTCCAAATGTTTGATGATCTAGTCCTGTTGGCGAAAGGGGGATTCACTGTCTACCATGGTTCAGCGGAAAAAGCAGAACAGTACTTTGCAGACCTCGGGATCCATGTCCCAGATCGCGTTAACCCTCCGGACCACTTTATCGACATTTTAGAGGGTATAGTAACACCAAGTCGAAGCTCGGGTGTGAACTATAAAGAGCTTCCTGTTAGGTGGATGCTTCACAATGGCTACCCAGTGCCCCCGGAGCTGCAGCAAACTGCTGCTCGGATTGCTACACCATCAGTGAGTCCAGCTCCTGCAAATGGGACAAGTCCTCCTCATGCTGGAATAGATGAAAGATCTTTTGCTGGAGACTTATGGCAAGATGTCAGTTGTAACGTTACGATACACCGGGATAGCATACGTCACAATCTCTTAAAGTTTAAGGACTTATCGAGGCGGAGAACTCCGAGTGTACTCTGGCAATACAGATACTTTCTTGGGAGGTAAGTACTATTTACGTTGTGATTACTTCAATTAAATGCTCAATGACGAAAACCACATTTATGCAACAAAAATATATCTATGATCTCTCGAGTTAACCGGAAATCTCAGGGTTGCTAAGCAGCGAATGAGGGAAGCCAAAGTACAAGCAACCGATTATCTGATCTTACTGCTTGCTGGAGCCTGCTTAGGAACAATAGCTAAATCGGGCGAAGAAAACTTCGGGGCCATCGGTTATACTTATACCATAATTGCAGTCTGTAAGTCGGACCATTGTTACTTATCCTAGAAGGATTTCTTTGAACTACAATATGCTTTTTTGCTTCGTTCCCATGGAAGTCGCAAATGAAACATAAATTTCATATCAGATTTCTTACCATAAAGCTCCTCTATGGTTTCAGCCCTTCTATGCAAAATAGCCGCTTTGAGATCATTTTCGGTCGATAAATTACAGTACTGGAGAGAGAGTGCATCTGGCATGAGCAGCTTGGCTTACTTTTTGGCCAAAGACACAGTCGACCATTTTAATACCGTGATCAAGCCCGCGGTGTATCTCTCTATGTTCTTTTTCTTCACAAATCCAAGATCTTCGTTTTCGGAAAATTATACCGTCTTGTTGTGCCTAGTTTACTGTGTAACCGGTATAGGCTATGCATTTGCCATCTTCTTTCAACCTGGTCCTGCCCAACTGGTAAGCAAAGTTTAAACCATATTGAGTGGGAAAATAATGTATTTTATCGATTTATAGCGTCGATTATCTTTCCGTCGATGTGTACTGTTTCTTGTAGTGGTCGGTTCTTGTTCCGGTTGTTTCAACTCTCGTAGCCATTAGGACACAAGATAATGAAGTTTTGAAAAAGATGTCTATTTTTTGCTATCCCAAGTGGGCTTTGGAAGCTTTCGTGATATCGAACGCCGAAAGGTATGTCCTATTGACCCTTTAATCTAATCATACAGATAGGTTTCCATAATGAATGAACGAATGCAAGGTTTCTCCAGATAAGGCCATGGCTCATTCAGAATCCGTGGTTCGGATTTAACAAGAAAACCTCTATCCATGTTGTTTCGAGCTCAGGAGAACTTAGAAAGCTTGAATGAGACCATAGGTTCCTTGAGGCACACGTTTACCATTTTTTATAAAATCGAGCACAACCATAGTACATTTATCCTGCTAGATGTTGCTTTCGTTGCAAGTTCCATCGGTTTTCTTTGCTGTGAAAATCTCATTTACCGAAAGAGTTTTGTTACATCTCAGGTACTACGGCGTGTGGTTAATTACTCGATGCGGAGCTCTTCTGAAAAGTGGTTACAGCCTACATGATTGGACTCTTTGTATAGCCATTCTCGTTCTCACCGGCGTAATCAGCCGAGCAATTGCATATCTTGGTATGATCACATTCCAGAAGTGAAATACGTGTCCATGGGACCATCAACACTCAGAAACACAGACATCGCCGGGGAGATGATCGCAACCTATCGGAAAATGGTGCTGTATATTTTCTTGTACATCTCGGATGAATTAGGTTATAGTTATACTACCTTATCTCCCATTTCATTTGTACATTAGGGAGTGAGGTTTCTTTGGTTAGTTATATTTGATAATCCATTTCCAGGGCAATATAATAACTGTAAAACGATTTGTTATTCTATTTAGTCCTTTTTATTTCATGTCGTCGGATATTTCGTTCGTACATATCTTCTCTTTATTATTAAATCTAGGTTAAAAACGAAAACTTTAAAAAAAACATACAAAAAAAGGCACAACAAACATTAAACGCATCCGAAAGTCTATATCGAACACAAATTCACATCTTATCTCAATTTACTTCTTCATCAAACATGTCACACCACAAGTTTTTCGAGATAAAATCCGAACACGATATCTAATAAAAATATATCTTTCTCAATATATCTTGGGTCGACCCGCCCTCATCAGTGACCCATACCCGAAAAAAGGCAAAGGATTGGTGAACCGGGCCACATCTTGATGACAGCAATATTCTATCCAAGTGTTCATCCTTCTTCCTATTACGAAACAATAACAACTGTTGAGAACAGCTAGAAAAAGAAAAATCAGTGAGGGAGAGAAACAATGGCAAAAATAGCTGCTTGGATGCTTCTTTCACAGCATATTCTTTGTCTTTCAACAAGTTTTTGTCTCCTACAAATCCCATGGCAGCTCTTGGATTTTCTGCTTCTTCTTCCTCAGCTTTTCCTTCACTTTCCAGCAAACCAAAACGACCCAACAACTCTTTCCAAGGTGCTTCCTTTTATCCTTTACTCCGTTTTACTCCTTTTGGTGACTGTATCTTTCTTGGGTATCCCTTTGTTTCTTTCGTAAAGTGAGCCAGGGATTTAAATGGCGGTCGCCGTCGCATTATCAGTTGCCTGTGATTGCGGCAATAGCGGGTGTTATTACTGTCATTGCGGCAATAACGGTTCCGGAAGGCAGCTTTACTGTTATATAATGGCCGCTATTTAAATATCTGGCTGTAATTTAGAGAATTTTGTTCAATGGAGTAATAGTAGGTTATGCAATTGTGGCGAAAAGTAATGGTTTATTGGTGCTGAACTGAGATTTTTCATTATAAATGGAGTATAGTAGGTTATGTTGTGGCGAAAATCCGAAAAGTGATGTATATTGGAGCTGAACTGAGATTTTTCATTATTAATGGAGTAATTGTAGGTTGTGTAATTGTGATGATTGAAGTTTTTGTTATGCCATGATGCTTTGTGTTTTGTGATAATGAGTAGTTCATGCCATTGTTGTACTTTCCTTAAAAAAGAACAAGCATATTCTAGCTGGATGTTTCATTTGTGTATTTGGTTGGCAGTGAGATCGGTGGCTGCTCCTGCAGAAGACGTAGCGGGATTCGATGAAATGGTTTCCGGGACGGAACGCAAGTACTACATGCTAGGCGGCAAGGGAGGCGTAGGAAAGACGAGCTGTGCCGCTTCATTGGCTGTAAAATTCGCAAACAATGGCCACCCCACTCTGGTTGTATCAACCGATCCAGCTCATTCGTTGCCGGATTCTTTTGCGCAGGTTTCGACCCACTCTCTCATGTTTTTACCAATGCTTTTCTCCCTGCATTTATCTTTTCTTTGGCTCAGTCTATGAGTTCATATTTTATCTAGGATTTGACTAGAGGGATGCTAGTACCAGTTGAAGGACCCGACTTCCCCTTGTTTGCTCTTGAGGTATATGGAATAAGCCCCTAATCGGGTTTGTTAGTTTTTCTTGAATGATTCGTTTCGGTTTTGCTGCACACCTTCGTTAAGATCATACATTCTATAAGAGATAACTATCTGCTAGTTATGGTTTTCGTGATTATTTTTCCCGCATAGTTGGTGAGTTAAATTCATATCTTCAACACAGATAAACCCGGAAAAGACCAGGGAAGAATTTCGCGATGCAGCTAAGAACAATGGCGGAACTGGGGTCAAAGATTTTATGGATGGCATGGGACTCGGAATGCTTGCAGAACAGGTGAAGCTTATTTTCTATGTTTGAACATAGTAACTTAAGATACTAATGTAGTACTTTGCTCGAATTTGCACCACGTAAATGCCATGGAAGGTCGCTTAATCATCGCATTTTTGGCGGCTAATTTTTGTTTTAAGCAAAGTTTCTTCCATATGAACCCCAAAACTTTTATTCGGTTGGAGCTGCATTCTTTGTATGGTTCATGCCTCTCTCGAATGCGTTCATTATGCGGAACGTCATATGTTTATGCATTCTTTACGTTGACTCGGGTGCTTTTTCGTGACTCTAAAATCACGATTTCTGCTTCTGGTGTTTCTTTCGACTTATGTAATTAGGAGAGCTGAAATTGGGAGAACTACTCGACACGCCACCTCCTGGTTTGGAAGAAGTGATAGCAATTTCAAAGGTATGTTATGTGTTCTGCTTATTTTTGTGTTTTTAATGTCGCTTACGTACCTTTGAGCTCTATACCGACTGTTGAAGCTCTTTGCTAGGTCATGCAATTTCTTGAATCACCACAGTACAGTATGTTTACTCGAATGGTTTTCGACACTGCACCAACGGTGAGTTACGCTATCTTCTTTCGATTCTGCAGCACATGATGTTTGAAGTCATCCTAACAAACTCTAATTGATGAGAGTTCTTTTCAGGGACATACATTGCGACTTGTCGTTGCCAGACTTCTTGGATGCATCAATAGCCAAGATATTGAAGGTTGAAATGCCAACTTGAATTATAAAAACCCGTAGACGATTCGTTCCCCTTTCGTAATTTTTATTTTTCTGCCCCTTTTTCAAGACATGTTATAGATATTTATAGCTAAGGATGAACCATGAAGTGACAAAATGAATGATTTGCGCAACATTTTCCATTCATATTTGGCGATTTCGTTACTGGAAATGAGCTTGAATCGAATACTGAAAACCTGGAGGAAAAATGTTGTAAACATGCGTGTGAATAGCTGCATTAGTTGAATCGGAAGTTTAAGAATCCGGAACTGTTGCTGTATCCATTTGATAGTATCATCTTTTCATGCTATGATTTCTCACCGCCGTTCGCATGTACAGCTTAGACAGAAGATAGATTTGGCCACCTCGGCGATTAAATCTGCTTTCGGACAAGGAGAAACCCCTCAGAACTCTGTAAGCCTGATATAGATGAGAGTTGGCATCATCGTCGCCGTTGTCATTATTATTGTGTTATTGCGTAGGGTTTAGGGTTTGGACTGCACGGATCGTCGACGTATGCGTAGAGATGTTCGCGATTGACGACCCGTTGAAGGTCCTTTTCACAGAATCTGGACGGGTGAAGTTCACCGTTGGATCCCATTTTTTAGGACTCTTTTAACCACTTGGCTAACTGTGTCTTTCACGGTGTTCTTCAAATTCTCTTCCAAATGCCTCAGGTCAATGGCATGGCAGAGGGCGACCAAGAATGTCGATGACATGAGCTTCAATATGTCGATAGCTTCGGCTGTCTTTCTTTCTGAGATTAAACCTAAAGAGTTTAATCTTGGTTATGTTGCTCGGCGCTTTGCACATGGTTGGTAACCCCCGAGGAACTGAAGCTCCGAACAGTACGAAGCCATCGCGATTTCAGCTCCCTTGAAACCATAGTCCAGGCTTCGAAGGCAACCCGTTGTTGTAGTAATCATTTATTAGCTCGGAGAATTGAGAAAACAAGAGTTTACCGATCGCAGCAATGGCTAAACGAGTGTTGTCCATCGATACACCGATTGGGGGTAACCTGGAAGTTCCCTCCATGTAAGGCCTTATCTCTCGAGACGTCAATCAAGGGATTGTCGTTGACTGAATTGATCTCTCGTTCGATCATTTTGGTCGCAAACCTGATTGTTTCAATCTGAGGACCAAGCCATTGAGGCGACGTTCGTAGAGTATATCGGTCTTGTTTCGGCTTCTGGAGAGGGTCCATTTCATGCAACTTTTGTGCTGCTTTAATGTAAGAGCTGCCATCCAAAATATGTTCCATAATTGCAGTTGCTTCAATTTGTCCCGGGTGATGCTTCAGCTTATGAGTCAAATGATCTGTAAACTCAGGTGTCCCTTGCATAACTTCAGCAAAAACGGCAGACAAAAACTTCATACGGAACAGCTAACACATTAGCCTCGTAAAGGACCAAGGAAGCTAACCCTAACCTGACTGCAGTTCCGTTAACCATAGCCAGACCCTCTTTCGGTTGCAACTCGAAGAATTCGCCATCTATCCCAGCTTTGTTAAAGGCTTCAGTGGGGCTCAATGTCTCACCATTAGGTCCCAAAGCCCTAGAGTTAGGCCTGCCGGCTAAAAGGCCGGCGATGTAAGAAAGTGGAACGAGGTCACCAGAAGCTGAAATTGAGCCCGAGTGGCACGCACGGTGTTATGTTGACGTTAAGGAGCTTAGTGATGGCTTCAAGGATCTCGAATCGAATGCTTGAATAGCCTTGCAGCAGTGTGTTGATTCGGACAAGCATGGCGGCCCTGGTCGCGGTGTGGGGCAAAGTGTGGCATGACTCGGTCCCTTGACCGAAAACTCCGGCATTCAAGAACCTGGTCGCACCAAAATCATGTTTAGCCACCTTTGTGTACATTCTAACTAAAATATATTGAAATATATTGAAAGCTCAACCTGGACGGCGGCGTTTCGGTTGGCAATGGCCGTCACTTGAGCTATCGTTAGCGTCTCGCCACCGAGACGGACCACCGGCTTCTTGTACTCTTCCACCATCCGCTTCACTTCATCGAGATGGCTGCCTCTCATCGACCGAGCCGACGCGGCCCAGTTCAAGGGATCAGACTCGACAGGTGCAGAAACCACTCCCGCCATTGCAGTCTGAAAACATCTCCATCGGCTCCATTGATGATCTAATGATTGAAAAAACACAGGTTTTTTTTTCTTTTGGAAGAAAATGGAAAAGGAAATTTTCAGGGAAAGTAAAAATTTTCCTGACTTTGTTGAACGATAATTCGAACCTTTAAATAGAGGGGAAAATCAAAATAAAAAAACAAAAGGCTTAATACAAAAATAAGTACCTAAACTATTCTAAAATTGATTTTTGGAACCTAAAGAATTTTATTGTTAAAAATAAGTGCATAATATTATTTCCGTTATGCTTTTAGGTGTTTACCGTTAAATGTCATGTTTCATGTTTATATTTTTTACTTTTCAAATAAAATATTATTTAAAAAAATTTAACGTGACACATATCACTTAACGGATTTTTTAACGTTATGCACATAAAAGTGTAACGAAGAAAACTTTAAATATTTATTTTTAACGAAAAATTCTTTAAACATCAAAAATCAGATTTAACGAATTTTGATCTGATTTAATTTTTTAGTTCACATTCAATTAAATTTAAAATTTATAGTGAAAAATCCTAATCTGATTTAAATAATAGTGTAATTATCTCTCATATATTTAAAGATGTAATTATCCATTATATATTTATCTATTTGAGTTGAGTGTGAATTTTTCCTCTAAAGATTATATCAGATTTTAAATCAGATAAAATCTCTTTAAATTCAAATCATATAAGTGACGAATAAAAAATACGTCACTCAAATCATGTTTGAATAGGCCAAAAATCTAACTTGACTCGACCCGTACCTACCCCTAATTAATATCAATGATTAAAATGGTTCAGTACTCGTTAATAATCTAACAATTACTGAAGTTTGAGTCTTATTAGTAATTAATTTGGTCTACAAAAAATTCATATATTATATAAATATGTAATATATTAAATATAGTTATGGTAACATATTACTGAAAATTATTTTTCTTCTATAAATTATAAGTTAAATATTAAATAATTAGATTATTTATTTATAATATATATATATTACTAATTAGAATTCTCTTGACATATTACTAATTGAGAATATTTGATTTAGATTTAGGATAAATTACATGTTTAGTACTTAAACTATTAGTTTTGATTTGTTTTAGTACTTAAACTTTTATTTTTTTTAAATCATACCTAAAGTTTAGTTTTTGTTTTGTTTTAATACCCTCGTTCAAAATTTAAGGTTAAGTTTTAAAAAAATTGAAGTTTAGGCACTAAAATAGACCAAAACTAATAATTTAGGTATCAAACGTGTTAAGTTTTTAACGACTGGACACTAAAATTAAATGTTAGTTATGAATTTTGAAAAAGTTGAAAATTTAAATACTAAAATGGACCAAAACTGATAGTTTAACTACTAATGTGTAGTTTACCCTTAGATTTAATATTGCTTGTAAAACAAAGAAAAAAAATACCCATCATTAATATTGCAAATATTTCATTGCTTATGGACTTATTGTCCAGAGCAAATTGTAGATATTAATTCAAAAATAATAATCGTTTATGTTTTCTTTTTATTTTTGTACTCGTGATAAAAAAAATCAGTTAAAATAATTAATTTTAAAAATTGAAACAAATTTCAATCAATAATATTTAATTCAAATTTATTGTAATGTTAGTGATTAAAAATTTTTAATAATTAAATTTATTTAATGTAGTATACATTATTAATCTGATGAATAAGATTGATTAATTATTTTTTGGTGATCAAATAATACATGCCATAGATGAAGAGTAACAACTTTTTTATATAATTGTTATTTCTAAAGGTTTCGGGTCAAGCATAAACAACTACAACATGAGTGATTTCGTGTTTATTATTAAATAACTGATAATATTTAGAACAAATATTATTAAATAACATGAGTGATTACGTGTTTATTATTAAATAACTTGAGTGTTCGATAATATGTTCGTTCATTTATGTTCGTTTATATTCGTTCATTTATGTTAGTTCATGTTCGTTCGTTTATGTGTGTTCATTTATGTTTAGCACAATCTCTCTATACTCATTGTCGCGGTCGTCTTTCGGTTGGGCCCGGAATTGGGCTTCGACTTAGGAAAAATAGATTAGAAGTCGCCACCGACCACTTTAAAATGAATTTAGGTGGGTCGGACACCATCTTACCTTATCTGCGTTTTACCATAAATATGTCGGGTTCGGGAGTCGGTTACGGTCAAGGAAGGATTAGAACCCTTGAACCGCCTTTTCGGTACCAATTAATTTGTCGGCTGTCTTAGTTGCGAAAATTAAAATTAAAATTTAAAACATCAATTTGAATAATTACCTTTGATCGATTGGAATTACTACAAAAAAAATATATGTTAGATGAAATAAAATAAGAATAAAATAAAATAAAAATGAATATTAAAGAGAAAGGGAAAATGTTGGATAAAAACATAAAAATAGAATTTAAAAAAAGATAAATAAATTAAGGAGAAAAATGAATAAAAAATATTAAAAGTAAGGAAAAAAATAAGAAATAAAAACATAAAAAATAATTTAAAAAATAGAAATGAAATAGAATGGTAAAAAAGGTTTGGGGACTGAATATAATTTAACCCACTGCCAAATAGTGACTAAAACGGAAGATGCATAAATTATAGGGTCGAATCTGAAAACCATCAAACACATTATATAAATTAGTGACCATAATTAAAATAAAAAAAAATAAAGGCCTCAATTAGGATATCTGAAAGCTGCATTAATAATTAAATAGCAGGATTACAAGATAAGGAGGACTAAATCTGGCATTTCCCCTTTTTTTGAAAACACGGATGGATAAGGGGTCAAAACGACGCAGTTTTGGTTTTGTGATTTAACCCCCAAAATGAAGCTTTTTCTCTCCATTTCCATCATTTTCCAAGTTTCTCTTCTCTCTCTACAAGAAAATGCTCTCGCCTCTCTCTAGTCACTCCTCACCTGAGCGCCGCCGACCGCGGA